CATCCACCTCACTCCAGATATTTCTGGGTTCTCGTATAGCAAAGTCCAGAAGTAATCTGTAGCTGGTAGCTTCAGTATTCACTGGTACTGTGTTTCATTGTATACCATTGACCTTACCATATGGAAAAAGAACATGGAACATTACCTACCACCATCTCATAAATGTAGTGGGGTTGCAATGTTATGGGGGGAGTGTGAGCAGATCTTCAAAAAGATATGGGGGGGGGTTGATAGTGAGCATTCTAAGATCTGGGAAGGACATGATGCAGGATGGGGTGGCTTGGTGTTGGGGAAGGTCTGGAAACCATTTTGTATAGTGCCTTCCCAAATTATTGCCACCCTAAAGTCTCTCATATGATTCATTCATGCTATCTGGGGCAGGACTACATAAATGAAGGGTTGGAACTACCTAAATAGGAGGAGAGTGTTGTTATCATTTCTTATTGCAGTGCATGGAAGAAAGCAAACAAGTGCAGGTGTAATCTCCTTTTCAACCTGTCATGATCTAAGTTGCATCACTTTATATTGTCATTGTCAGAGCTTGGACAAATACTGGTCATGCTGGCTAGAGGATTCTGGAAATTGTAGTCCAAAAGAGAAACATTTCCAAACATTGGACTCTTCACCTTTGGAGAAACCCCAAAATTAAATGCAAATTTTCAGTGGGCATATGAATTGCCCCTTAATTCAAACAGTAATCTTTACCAGTACTTTCTAATATTTGCCATCAGGGCACCCCATTTTCTCATTCTAAGAACTGTCCAAATGCTGAATATATTCATTTTCTGCAAACAGTTTGCCTCTGTTTTGATCTGCATGATTTCATGTCCACCCTAGTGTAGCCTTGAGTTTGTTACAATTCTTCTCCATGTTCATAAATCAGCTCAGTCTCTTGTGAAGTTTATTTTCCCTGTATCTCTTAGTGACACTGAACCAACTGGAAAGTGATAAACTTACTAGGGAAGGGAAATTTACACAACACTAAAAATAAATACAAATAGATATTCCTGGGCTCAAGTGAGAAACTGCAATCACTCAGTCTGTTTGTTGATTCCTAAAATATGTGGTAGGAGATGTCCCATATCCTACTGTTTCATCCTATCTGTGCTTTGGCTTGTTCTTTGCTGGAATGTCAGATTCTGCTATGAATGATTTTATATCCTAAATTTCATTACATCCTGACACACACAAAGTCTATCAAGCTTTCCTAGCCTAGTTACTAAAGAGGAGGAACACATAAGCTGGAGAGGCAGCAATAGTTTGCTTTTGACTAAGTCTACTGGGAAGGTCAAGATCTATCCTCTTCTTTCTACACGGCTGACTTGAGTGCAAACTGTTTTTGAACTTAGAACTCAGTTTGCAACAAATAAAGTAATCTGAGGACAAATGGGAAAAGTGGGAAGAGGGAAGAGAAATTGGGATATTTTATAAACAGCTGGGGGGGGGGACAGTTAATCAGAACTGTCCCTGCCAAATCAGGACAGTTGGAGGTATTTATTGAGGAATTTGCACCTCTGGTTATTAATGGCTGAGATACGCAAGAATGACAGAGGGAAGGGGCATATGGAAGGGCCTGTGTTTGCCACTGATTAAAGATGCTTTCATTTCAGGGTGCCAAAAATAGGTTTTAAAAGAGAAGGGGCAAGAGGAGTGGAAGTCTGAAAAGGGATGAACTCAAGCAAACAAGAAGAACCTACTAAGAAAATGTGAGGGGTGGGGGGAAGGAGTAAGATAAGTACCTAAGAATGAAGAGACAGAAATGGAGGGGGGGGGGAATGAAACAAGAAACAGTACACTGATTTTCCAGACTAACACAGCTATGTGTTTTAATTCTGCAAAATTATTTGTTAGGGCAGTCAGAGCCAGAGTGAAGGCCAGGTGGGAGCACAGCAATTGATAAGCTCTGAATAGAGTTTTGGGAGCTAGGGGGGGTTGCAGACTGCCAGAAATAGTGTGAATTCAGTCCACTTTTAGGGTTAGGGTTAGTGCTAGGGAATCATGGGAACTGTTATTTTCCTGAGACATTGAGCCTTCTCTGTCAGACAACTCTGGTGCCACAATAAAATACAGTTCCCATGGTTCCCTAACTCTAACCCTAACCCTAAAAGTGGACTGAATTCACACTATTTCTGGCAGTCTGCAACCCCCCTAGGAATATGGAAGGAAGGAAATCCAGGTTAACTTAATTATTATGCACAGTTGGCCCTCGGTATCCATGGTTTTTTTTAATCCACAGATTCAAGCACCTACAGCTTGAAAATATTCAAAAATATATAAGCTCCAAGAGCTAACCTTGCTTTTGTCATTTTATATAAGAGACACAATTTTATTATGCCACTGTATTTATTGGGACTTCAGCATCCACATATTTTAGTATTCATGGGGAGGGAGTCCTGGAACTAGACCCCAGTGGATACCAAGGGCCCACTGTATGTATTTTTTACTGGTTTTATTTTCTACAACTGGTGCTGTTTTCATTTAAGAATAGAAAAAGAGAACTGTTCGCACTTTACTACACTAGACAAACTCATCAAACCATCCACTTGTCCCAAATAAAGCTGAAATACCAGATCTAGGGAGAGATCCTAAGGAGAAAAGGGCAAGGTGCATGGCTGGAGGCCAAGGCTTTGAAACTACATAGCTAGCCTAAGGAGGGGAGGGGGGGGGCTTCCTTACAATAGAGTTTGTAGTTTAAAATGCTTGGAGGTTAACTAGGTTGCCTGTTCCTACTTTATATTGTCATAAGCTTCTTTACACAATGATTAATCTACCCATACAGAGCAGGAAGACAGGTATATGTTCGGAACCTTGATTCTTTGGCCAGAAAAACTGAATTTATGTACTTTTTGAAAGCTTATTGGGTCAGGGAATATTTTATGGAAGTCTATCTGTACAAGCCAGAGGTTGCAGTAATTTGGAGTGAAAGAGAGTCTGAGACAGAGCTAAGTGCCTGTTTGTGTGACTGTATCAAATCCTTGATATGGCCTAAGGTCTTTGGAAAGATTTTAGATGCTTCCCAGACAACAAGAGCGCTTTCAGAAGCAGAGTAGCAGGAAGGAATGATATAGCATGGTTTTGCTTGGGAAGGACAGCCTTGTCATGCTAACTTATGATGGATGAGGGAAAGACCTATTTTTCATCAATGTAGAAGGAGGTGATGTGTAAAGAAGGATGCACTGATTGTCTTGAGACAATTCATCTTGTGTTGGATTTGCTCAGAAAGATGGCAGAGTTTAGAAAAAGATGGGAAGCAAAGCAGCTGCGACTAGGAAAGGGGGAAAAAAAGGGGGGATACATTATGTGAGGTAGAATCACATGGGAAAATATCAAAATGTCAGCAGCACCAGAGATTGGATGGGAAAGGATGGGGAGTTTATGGGGAGGGAGGGAAAAGAGGATACAAAAAACCTGGTGGTATTTGTCAGCTGCTAAATCAGGCATAGTTTTAGAATAGAAAAGGAAATGGCTCCTGGATCTTGTTAAGTCTTCAAACAACCCTTTATAGCACAGTATCATGAAGGAGAAATGTCCAAAGGGCTTTGAGTGCCACATGCAAAATATTGCTTCCATTGACAGAATACTCTTAGCCCACAGAAAGGATGGAGTAGGAAAAAAGCATCTGTGCTTCCATTTTCAAGGAGACAGAGAGGATTTGGGATGTGTGAAGGTGTTTGGCTTTTCCTGAAAGCCGTGTTCCATCTTTAAAAGGCCTATTTTAACCACTTTATTCTTTTAAATATACTACGTTATTAGATAGGATGGAGTCAAGACAAGGAAGATCTGCTGAGCTTTCAGTTTCTAAAATGATATCAAAGCAAACCAAAATAGAGCTGATGCAAAAGAACCCTGGGCAATTCAGACCTAATTTCATTCAAAGGTGGCATGAATAACTGCTTTTGTCATTGTTGTTCCTCCCAAAATGGAAATATCCTATTTTTTGTGTTGCAGATAAAGGCATGGCTAGATCATACCCTCCAGTTTACAGCAATTGAAGTAAACACACAAAAGGGGAAGTGGGAGGAGAAATGGGAAGCTAGGACATGTTAAAAGCAGCTGAATAGTGGTATGATAGAAGATTAACTGGATTGTCCCTGTCAAATTGGAACAATTGGAAGATATGTTAGATGCAGGACATTCATACTGACGTATAGAATATTTAAATGGTACTATTTTTAATATGATTGCCACCACTAATATTACTATTTCTGTCTGAGTACATACCTTCAAGTCATCTGTCTATTTTGGTGACTTCATGAATTTCTGTGGATTTTCTGAGGATTAGGCAAAGAATATCTAGAGGAAATTTGCCACTGTCTTCTTCTGAAATATAAACTATAGCACACAATATTACTTGGCAGCCTGTGAGGCCTGACAATGCTTAGTTGCCAAGATCAGAAGGGATCTGGTATCTTAGGGGTAGTGTAGTACTAGGCTGTTGCTAGTACTACACTAATAATAATAGCTACTATGACATTCTTCTGATTCGGAGTGTGGCCCTGATATTGACAGGGGCAATGAAATTCACCATTCCTTTTTTTGGATGGATTTTTTTTAAAATGCTAGCATATCTCATGGAGGCATATATAATTGCAGAGAAGTATCTTAAATTAAGAAATAACATTTAACCATCTATAACTTTCTCAAGGGCCAGCGTACTATAGTGGTTTATAGATCAGACTACAACTCTGGAGATTATGCCATGGAAACTTACTGGGTAACCCTGGGCATGTCACACATGCTCAGCCTCAGAAAACTCTATGATAGTTTTGCTTTAGAGTTGCCATAAGTGAGAAATGACTTGAAGGCACACAACAACAACAACAACAACAACAACAACATCTTATTAGATCATTTGTACATTATAGTGGATAAGAATTCCTTTATATTTGAAGGTGATTTTCATATTTAAATATAAGGAGTAGCCATGGGAAATAATATAGTCCCCATGACAGTCAATTTATGAATGGCTGATTTTGTAAATAAATACATTTTTCATGAGAGCCAGCATGGTGAAGTGGTTTGAATGCTAAGCTGAGATCCTGGAGATCAGGGTTCGATTCCCCACTCAGCCATGAAAACCAAACTCTTGGCCCCAGAAAATCCAGTGATGGGTTCACCTTAGGGTTGCCCTAAATCAAATATGACTCAACAATAAACAACAATGGCAAACATTTTTCAACTTTCTAATATTTACTCTAAGCATTATGTATTGTCACTTCATTTATTATGTCTTTCTCATTTTTAAGGGGAGTGACAGGTTTCCAGATTTTGTTAAATGGATCAACACTTTACATGTCACCATTTAGTTTATCAGTAATTATAGTCAGTCTCAGATTCCTTTTTCCAGTACTTTAGTATATATTGACAAAGGCTTTCTTTCCATATGACTGTCACCAAACCAGGGGATTGGAATTCATTATTATATTATTTCATTGACCATTCCTTTCATACAAATATGTATCTTGGGCAATTCTTGCCAATCAAATGCAACTCCACCTCAATCTGTTCCTATAATTTTCAGTCCAGGTTTTTGTTTACTTGATTGCAGCAGAGGGATTGTCCCACATGGATTATTCAATGGGACAAAGGTGGGACAAAGAAGATTCCATGTGATCAATTGTTTCCTTCACGCATCTACTACTCTGCACAGCACATATTTTTCCCTTGGAATTTCCCCCTATGCTTTATAATACCAGAAACAATGCAGTTTGACACCACTTTAACTGACATGGCTCCATCTTATTGAAGCCTGAGATTTGTAGTTTGTCATGGCACCAGAGTAGTTTGTCAGACAGAGAAGGCTAAATATCTCACAAAAGTACAAATTCCAGAATTCCATAGCATTGAGCCATGGCAGTAGTAATATTGAATTGTATTATATTTCCGGTATTGATTGGACCCAAATGGTTTTTAAAAAATCCCCCCATAAAGATGTTATCTGACTTACAATGGAAAGCTTACATGTACATAGGTGTTAGGACATGGAGGCTCAAGTGGTTAAGATGCTGACTCTGTTGATTGCAAGAAGAGACCCACGTGCTGTGTGATAGAGTGAGAGCTTTTGCCAAGCTACCAGTTTAAAAGCATCCAAATGCAAATACATAAATAGGTACCACTTCGGTGGGAAGGTAAACAGTTGTTCTGTCCAATCATGCTGGCCACATGATCCCAGAGTAGTCTCTGGCAATGCTGGCTCTTTGGCTTAGTAACAGAGATGAGCACTGGCCCCTATGGTCAGACAAGACTTGACAACCTTGTCAATAGGGAATATCTTTACCTTTTTACTTGGGTGTTACCTCCAGATAACTATAAGATACCTTGCCTGGGATGCTGCTGTTGTGATATACTAGGGGCTGTAGCACAGTGATAGCATGGGAAAGCAAACAAAATCAGCCAGCTCAAAAGAACCATCTCTCTCTCCCCCCATGACATCTTCTTCATGGCTTCAATAGCCATCATGACCTTTATCCACCACCTAAGCTAGTAAAATTACACTGATGTAGCATCAATAGGACTGTAATCAGTGAGCTCAGTCCACTCCAAATGAAGCATGCTTAAATCAGTTTTTGTGGGGTGCAATTTGAATTTCCCAGGGTGTTAACCCTTTTAAAGGAAACATACATATGAAAGTTAAACTTGTTAGAGATCAGCAGAAACAGCAAAAGTGTGGGTCAGATTATTTATTCTAAATCTGCCTTCCTAAAGAATAAAGACTTACTCCAAAAAACCAATAAACATACAATTTGTGTTTTAAAAACAAATAATAAATAAATAAATGCATACATACATACATACATAACAACCTAAATCCTATTCTAACTGGTGATGGTTTGAGTATAGTAGAAAGAGACTGTTAACCTCACCCAGAGGAGACTGTTACTCCATCTTAGACTGAAAGTAGACAGTTTAGAATCTTGAGGGAGTGTCTGTTAAACAGCCTCCAAGAGTGAGTGACCAAAGTCACATGTTTAGATAGAATGAGATAGATAGAGGGAAGCCCCTGTCTATTTAAGGAGGGAAAAGAGAATGCAATTCATAAAATTTCCAACAGTTTTCAGTGCCAGAGTTTTAAGCAAATGCCTAATGAGTTCTCCCTTTAATATTAAAAGGATTTAAACAGGTTCTACTTTTTGGATCAGTTCCTATGCAGGCCAAAATGCCATAGAGATAATAATGCTTTTGAACATACAGGTTGAAAATGTGTCAGCATCATTTTGCAGATGCAAAATTGTATCTGTGGAAGTTTTATTTCCAACCAAATGCTGCATGCACTGAACCATGGAAGATAAACAGCCCTGCCATCATACCTTGCCTCCTCAGTGACCTAAGAGGGCTGGAAAATATCATTTCCTCCCTTTCTTCAGTGAATTAGTTAATTTTTTAAAAAATTCTCCTTGTGATAAAGTGAAGTTATCTGGTGATCTCTTGGTGTGAAGCCATTATCATGGGTACCTTGTCATGGATTGTTCTTATCAGATCAGATCATCACTGATGAAAGAAGAATGGGAGGGCAGTGGTTGAATGTGATACGGAACAAAAATCCATTAAAATGGACTTGGATGATGAGTGTTCCCAGACAACCATTGCAATAGAACTACAGTTTATCACAAAGAGAGATGTACATTTTATCACATAGGTTGCTGGCATGAATTTGCCTTAAGGATGGACAACTGGGATGGAACAGTAATAGGAGAAAGTTAGGGGCTGTTTCCTATACATAGTGATTTTTCCAATGCATAGTCAAATCTGCAAATACAGAGAGCTGACTCTACTTTTATATCGAACAGGACTGCATCCTTAGTTATTCCAGAGACGAAAAGTGTATCACAACAAAACTTTATTTACAGACATTAAACCTAACACAGAAGGTTATTTATAAACAACATTTACAACACCACACTCAGTCCTGTCAAGCTAAGTAACACTTTTATCAATCTCCCAGCTCAAATTCATTGCTCTTACTTTAATCCTAGTCTAACTTAATCCCCTCTCAAACATATTTCTTCACTTCAGTCTTCTCAAACCACAGGCTAAACTGACTTCTACCCAAACTCTGCTATTCACCAACTGTTTCATGGAAATCTCCTCAAACATTCCATCAATCAGCATCCACTTCAATACTCCATGATCTCCTTACATAGTACATCAAGCCACAATTCTATATACAAATCCATGGCATCATATCCAGCTATTTAGGGTCATAGCAGGGTAGGAAGTAGATTTCCACCTTTTTTGACCCTATATTATTCTTTCCATTATCCTTCATTTCATGCTCTGTAAGAAGCAGGTCCTGTTTCCTGCTAAAGGAGACTGGCATGCCTGTGGATTCTTGTCTGTTTGCTGGATGATTCCTGAGCAGAATGGTGGGTGTTACAAATTTCTGGTGCTTGAGGATCATGGATTAAGAGCTGTTCTATTATGCCTCTTTTAAAGAGCATGGGAAATATCTGAACCCAATTGCAGCGCCAATAGCTTGTTTTCCTTCTCTAAAACAAAAATAGCTTGGCTTCAGGGGAACTGTGCGAATCCTGTGATAACAATAAATAGCAGTGGTGTTTAAGAATGACTGAGCTATGATTTCCAAGGACTACCAAACCCCAGCACTATATGTGATGATGCCTTTAGCACTACAAACTCACAAGTGAGACAGTATGTACAGAGATCTTGTAGCACCTTTGAGACTAAGGGGGGAAGCAGACAGAGGCACCAGAGATGCCACCAGATGGAGCGCCGCCGGAGCGCAGCCTCCGCACCGCGGCGCTCCGGTGGCATTCCTGGAAGGAGCGCTAAATCAGCGCTCCTTCCACAACACAGGAAAAGTGCACCCTAAAAGTGCGGACGCTGCGGCGGGAGGTTGTCCCCGGAGCGCTGGCTGTGCGGAGGGCCGGCGGCTCCGAGGACGACCTCAGGAAGAGGAAGGGGCGCCGTGCGTGCGGCTGCCCCTCCTCTTCCTTGCCTCGAAGACGACTCAATTAGTCATCTGCCGAGGCCCTAACTGAAAGAAAGAAGTTGGCAGAATCAGTTTTTGCATACTTCAGTCTACTTCCTCAGATGTTTTAGTGGATTAGAGGCCAGGGACAGACATATATATGCCATTGGTATGTGAGAATGTCAATTCAAATTCAAAATCCTTTGTGTATGGAAATGAAATAGCACGCCCAGTTTTAATGATGGCCATTTATGCACAAAGACATAGCCATGAGAAATGAGTTGGCAAGACCAGTTTTGCCTTGGAAACTAGCCTGTAGATGGGGAGGATAGAGACATTTTAATGTTGGGATCTTCCGTGTGCAAATTTTGGCCTGGTGGTTGAGAGCCTAGGGCCAAGTGTGTGTGTGTATATATGTGTGTATGTTTCTTTAAAGAAAATGCTGTTAAAAGAACTAACTATGTAAAAAGAATCCACTCTGGCAACTTCCAGTAATGCAACATTCATAAGAGTTTCCAGAGGACACAATAAGAATTTAGAAGCAAGAAGGCAATACGTTCTTGGTTACTCCCTTCAAGGAACCACAAGAAATAGGTTGATACCATGAGGACGACATGAGATACTTCTTATCTAATGTATATGATGTTGGTTTTGGACCCAGGCCACTTTAGCCAAATGGCAATGGCACTTGTGAACATGCTGGGCAATCTATGTTACTGAAAGGGAGTGGGAATCACTGGGCTGCATCCCATGCCATTTTTAACAATTTGAATGGGCAATGACTGTATGTAGAAGGGGAAATGAAATGTGCATTCAGCATTTGTTTGCTTGTGTGTGTGTTTGTTTGTTTGTGTGTAAAAGTATACAGTTTGTGGTCTATAATACTACAACCCCCCCCCCCCCCATCTAGATCTTTTGGTTTCCATCACTGGGAAGACACCATAGCTTTTCTTGACAGCTTTCTTGCCCTCTTTGAATTGCATGAAAATTTGCAGAATTTACACAGGAACATACATGCTTTAGCCAATGGAAAAAAATCAAAATAAAATACATACATTAAGAAATATGAATTAAAATGTGTGTAGATTGGGCAAAGTATGTACCAACTTGTACAGCAATTTCTATGAAGAAAAAAGTACAGAA